TCTTTCCATTTGCAAAGTCCACATAGAAATAAACATAGGTGAACTATTATCATAAAAACAATGACAAGTACTGGTGAGGACATGGAGGGACTTGCACCCTCACAAACTACCAGTGTGAACAGAAAACGCTGCCGCTGGAAAACAGTGTGGCCGCTCCTCCAAAATGAAGCATAGAATTCCTTCCGAGCCTGCAGGTCCACCTCCAGGAGTCTGCCCTCAGAGCTGAAAGCCGGGGCTCAGACAGGGTCCTGTGCTTGTTCACGCAGCCAAAACAAGAGGCAATGCAGCTGCTGAGTGGCCTAGTGATAACGGGGCTGATATTTATTAAAACCTTCCACAAGTAAGGCTCTGCAGCCAGTGTTTCTCAGTTATTTTCTCATTTAAACCTCACAGCATTTCTAGCAGAAGGCACTGACTTAGACCTCAGGGCCTCATCCGTAAGCAAACACTCATGCTACCACCTCATTAGTGGCATCACTCAGCAGCCAGCTTACACCACGAGCGCAGTATTCTTCCTACTGCATAACCCCGTCCCCACCAAGGTAATGAAGCAGCTGCTGTGTGGACAGGATCTCTGAGGTGGGGAGTTGCTGAGGCTCAGGGAGGTTAAGTAAATTGCACAGGGTCACACAGCTGATATCTACCAAATGCCAAGGCCTGAATCTTTCCGACACACTGTGATGGCTCTGAGAACGCGAATCTGGTGCCTGCTGTGTCCTGTGGCAGAATTTAGGGAGATGGGACATGATGGCCCCTGAGAAACTCAGAGAAGGAATAAATAAGAATTAAAGCTCAATGGCCTCTGTATTTGGGGGAAAGGGACTAAAGAAGTACAGAAGATAACTCACTATCCTCTTTAACACACACACACACACACACACACACACACACACTCTGAGTGGCCAGGTTACTATGATCTCTGAATGCATAATAATCTGGCCACTCAGTGTGTGTGTGTGTATTATATATTAGAGGCCCGTTGCATGAATTCGTGCATGGGTGGGGTCTGGCCAGCCTGGCCAGGGGGAGGGAACATGGGCGGTTGGCCGGTCTGCCTGCTTGTCAAACTCCTAGTTGAGGGGACAATTTGCATATTAGCCAATATCAATCAATATATATTTATTTTTATTTTTTTTCCCCAGAGAGGAAGGGAGGGGGGAAGAGATGGAAACATCAATGACGAGAATCATTGATTGGCTGTCTCCTGCACACCCCCTACTGGGGATGGAGTCTGCAACAGGGGAATGTGCCATTACTGGGAATAGAACGATGATTTCCTGGTTCATAGGTTGATGTTCAACCGCTGAGCCACTGGCTGGGAGCATTACCCTCTTTATGAAGCCTGGCCACACTGTTCTGGCCCAAGACTCCCACTGCAACTGGCAGAAAGAATGCACTTCAAAACAGCTTCTTTACTCCTAACAGAGGGTCTGTCCATCCCAGCAAGCCCGGCCTGAGGGGCTTCCAGGCTCTCCCACAGCACAATGGCACCACCGCTGTTTCCCGTCTGTTCATTATTCTGCAGCTCCCGCTCTGCTTCCCCAGGTGCTCAGGTTCAGAGAACTCAGATGCCTGCTCCCAGAGCCCCTGGTCTGTGCGCGTGCCCCCTTTCCTCCTCCCCCACTCCTCCCCAGGAGGAAGGCTCTTGGTAGGGGGTGGTGCTGTAATGCACTCGCCCATCCTCTCAGCAGCCCGGTTCACTCGAAATAACCGGCCCAGGTCACTGTGCGGCTCTCCCAGAGGCCTGCAGAGAGCCAGGCAGAGGGGCACTTCTCAGGCCAGTGCTTTTCCACCAGGAGCCCACAATCACCACCGCCATCGTTCTGAGGGGGGAGGGGGCACACAGCATTGGTGGTGCTGTTTCTTAAAATCCTCCAGCCGAGCAGCTCCTCCTTACTGTGCCGGGAACTCACACTCCGGGTGGCTGGCTGCCCCCGCGAGGGCACCCCATGACGCCCTGCTTCCCAGCCTCTTCCTCTGCTTCCGGGGGCAGCCCTGGCCTCCCTGGCACACGCACAGCCCTGGCCTCCAGCCCTCTCCTCTCTCCTCCCCTGATCCCCAAACGGGACACAACTGTATTTCACTTTCCTCCTCTCCCACCCACGTTCATGGCCCCTCCCCCTCCCTCCTTACGTGAAGCAAAGCTTTGGTCTTGCTCTGGGAATCATCTGACCCTTTCTCCCTTCCACATGCTGCCTAGCGCGGCTGCTCTAATGTACTGCCATGTTAGATAGAGAAACACACACATGAGCAAAGAAGTGCCTGACGTTGGCATGCTGAGGGCTGGCCCGGTGCAGCTCTGGACAGCACTCTGCAGGGCGCATGAGCTGTGTGAGACCTTCCTGTGGCTGGACCTCCAGGAAGCCAGTCCAGCGGAGGGGCAGGAGTGGGGGCGCTGGGTGACGCCGGGGGCGGGGGGGGGGGGGGGACGACGGGGGGATACCTCTTTGCGGGAAATAGGCCCCCGGGTTCTTCAGGGGCTTTCAGCTCCGGGAGCAGAGGCCTGGGGAGGCGTCAGTGTGGACAGCCTCACAGCCGCCTGCACACAGCGCTGCTCCAAGGACCCCGACGGCCCGGGAACAGGATCCCGCAGCCCCGCCTTCCTGGGCAGGCACCGCCCTCGCCACACAGGGCAGTGCCCAGACCCATCCCTGCCCCCAGGACGTATCCTATCACATAGGCTGACCAAGAAAGTTTAACTTTTAGGTAATCTTTTCCTCTTTGAGATTGAAGAGTTAACTCTGTGAGGTGAACTCTGCTCACTAACATGCTGAAATCGCTGTAAATCTCATAAATAGTTATTTTCATAGAGAGATTTAGTTGAGTAATTAGCAACGATCGCCTGCAGGGCCACCTGGAGCAGCTCAAGTAGTTCCAGTGAGTCTGCCCTGGACATGCCACGCGGGTGTAATCCCTGAGCACGTGGATGTGCAGCTCCTCCCACAACCGCTCCCTCCTGGCTTATCTAAAAAGCCCTGCCAACTTCCAGGATGTGGCTTATTCCGCTTCCTGGGGCCTTCCTCCTCCTCCTCCTCCTCCTCCTCCTCCTCCTTCTCCTCCTCCTCCTCCTCCTCCTCCTCCTCCTCCTCCTCCTCCTCTTCCTCCTTCTCATTCTCCTCCTCCTCCTCATCTTCCTCCTCCTCCTCCTTCTCCTCTTCCTCCTCATCTTCCACCTTGTCTTCCACCTTGTCTTCCTCCTCCTCCTTCTCCTCCTTCTCATTCTCCTCCTCCTTCTCCTCATCTTCCTCCTCCTCCTCTTCCTCCTTCTCATTCTCCTCCTCCTCCTTCTCCTCCTCCTCCTCCTCATCTTCCACCTTGTCTTCCTCCTCCTCCTCCTCTTCCTCCTCCTCCTCCTCCTCCTCCTCCTCCTCCTCCTCCTCCTCCTCCTCCTCCTTCTCCTCCTTTTCCTCCTCCTCGTCCTCCTCCTGCTCCACCTCCTTCTTCTAGTCCTCCTCTTTCTCCTCCTCTTCTTCCTATTCTTTCTCCTTCTCTTTTCTCCTCATCCTCCTGCTGCTCCTCCTGCTCCTCCTCCTCTTCCTCCTCCTCCTCTTGCTCCTCTTCTTCCTCTTCCTCGGAAGCCTGCACCAGGTTGATCGAGTGGCCCCTGCTTTAGGGTATAGACTGGGTTGTACACAATTAATATAATTTACCACTTTGCGCAATGGAAACTCAGCATTTTCCAAGGAAAATTTAGTTTCTTATCCCCATTTTAATGCCTGAACCCTGACACAGTGCCTGAAACACCAAAAGCACGCCTGGATGAAGGGGCCACTTAAGTGATCTCAAGATGTCCTGCATTTTATAATAGAAAACAGACTCTTCTCCAAATGACTGTCACAATGGCTCTATCTGTAACAGCCAGAGACTGGAATGTCTCTCAACAGGTGGCTCCCCGCACAGATGCCTGTCTGCTTTGGTCAGGAGCAGACATGCCCTCACAGAACAGCCCGATGAGTCTCAAGGGCATCACGCTGCGCTGACAACAGTGACCTCGAAAGTGATGGTATTAACTGGCATTTTGGAAGCGTAAAGCAATGGGAAGAGAGAGCAGGGAGGGAGAGTGGGGACTAGGTGGTGGAGCTATAAATCCAGCACAGGGGAGGTGTTTGTGGCTATTAAGTAGTTTGTGTCTTGACTGCGGTGGGAGTAACACAGACCTACACATTTGGAGAGAGGTGCTGTTTGTGATCCCGTGTTGATATTATTGTAATTAAATAAGATGTGATGCTTGGAAGAACCTGAGTGAAGGGTACTTCTCTGCATTACCTTTGTGACTTCCTGTGGTTCTTTTATTTCCACATAAAAAGCTATAAAATTCTTCTAAAAACCCATTCTCTGAGGTTCTTCCTTCTCTCTAGCTGAGTGCCTATCCCTCATAACAACTTCCTCTCTTCTTATCGATTTACAATTTCAAAATGCTCCTCACACATTCAGTCACATCCTTCCCAAATGCAGCAGCTCCGTGGCAGCAGCTCTTCCTGAGTTACAGATCAGGATGTGAGCGGGCACTGCTGAGGGCGCGGAGCTGGTAGGTGGCAGAGCTGGTGTCCCCTCCTCACTCAATAAACTGTCCACCGACCTCCTCTCTCATCTGCAAAGTGGGGTTGGTAGCCATGGCCTCTGAGAGGGCCTCAGAGATGACCCCTCAGGCCACGTGCACTGCTGTGCCCTCGCTGTCCTGCGCGCGGGACAGGCAGCCGGCTTCCCAGGGGCCTTGTCTCCCAGGGAGGAGGCTGTGCTGTGTAGCCAGCGGCACGTGAATGGAGGATCAGACTCTACAAACCCCGGTTCCCCTAAGATGAACAATCATCAAGGTGAGATGCAGCCGTTCTTGAACTTCCATGTTCCCAGCACACCCTACCTGTCCTCAGGCTGGCCTCTGCTTCCATGTTCCGGATCCCCACCTTCTGGGCATCATCCTGCCCCTCCTTCCACACACACACACTGACCCTGAGGAAGGACACTCCCATGCTATGGCGCGGGCTGTGGAAATGCCTTACCAGATTGGTGAAGATGTATGTGTAATAGGCCGACACCATGCCCAGCTCAGCTGCCTGCAAGAAGAGGAGAAGGAGGTCAGAGAGGAAAGCATTAGCCCTCCAAGCCAAGGAGCAGCGAGGGCTCTGCACCTGCCTCTCGCCCAGCTCACTGCCTTCATCCAGGCAGAGGAGAACACTGGGATCTGTTCTCATTTTGCCCTTTACCTTGAAGGACAGGGCACAGAATCCCCAGCCTCTAGAGCAGGTCTCCCCACCGCCGCCCCACTCCCACCACACAGGGACTCATAGAGCAGCTGCTGTCCGCATGCACCACATGGACAGGAGCAGGGGTCTGGACCCAAAAGGATTTTATGGAGAACGAAGCTGGGCACAGCAGGACTGTGAGCTGGCGCATCGCCACGCCTGCTCGCCGGCAGGGCTGAGCTCTGGGGCTGGCTGACCCGGCGGCTCAGCCTCCCTGTCTGACAGGAGGAACTGAAACACCAACAGCCCCACAACCTGTCCAGCTCACAGGCTTCCTGAGCGGAGATGCTGACAAAGCCCGGTCTTCCCCCTCACCCCCTCACCCCCCACCCAAGGACTGCAATAGGAATTGAAATCCCACTGGGAATTCTGACACAATTTTCTCAGGAGCCAGGCATACCGGGAGAGGCTGGGGGGGGGGGGGGGAGGCAGTTCCCAAATGTACCCCATGGTGACAGAATGCAAGGAGGAAGATGCAGGCCTGCGGTCAGGTGGGAACGGGGTTCTGCATTAGTAAGAACCAGGCTGTGTGAAGCTCTTCCGCCTTGATGCAGCAGGCAGTGTGGCGTTGCCCACAGGGAGCTTGGGGATAGGAAGCGTGGGGTGCCTGCTGCCTGCCCTCTGCCAGGAGGCTCCCCCCCGCCACCCCCTTCCCGAGGACTCCTCAGCCTGGGTTTCTAGCACTCTAACACTTAGAGGCGCTTTTTCCATCCTGATGACTTCATTATCCTAGTCCCAGACACGAGAGAAGAAAGAGGAGGAAAAGAGAAAAGGTGTGTGTGTGTGTGTGTGTGTGTGTGTGTGTGTGTGTGTGTGTGAGAGAGAGAGAGAGAGAGAGAGAGAGAGAGAGAGAGAGAGAGAGAGAGAGAATTGGGTATATGCACACAGACAGACATGGGTTGGAGCTGTGAGAAATTACTATAGCAACGGGCTGAAAGGATAGACCTCGGTTCTCAGAATGCATTCATATCTCTTGTTAACTTGGAGCCCAAAACGAACTGGGGAGAGAGGGAGGGAGGGAGGGAGAGAGGCCATCCAGTCTGTGGCTCTTCCCCTCTCCTTCCCCCCCTCCCCCCACCTGGTGGAGTGGATGAGGAGCCTGGCTCTCACTCCAGCTCCCTGCTGCTTTTGGATGTGCAGCTAAATGGCAGCAGGAGAGGCCACTGGGCCTGGAGAGGCTGGGGAGTGGACAGGGGCTCCGAGCAGGCCCACTCTGCTTGGGGTGCATGCCTGGCCCGGCCACCAGCCCAGATGGTTTCCAGCTGTGTGTCTGTCTGTCCCTCTGGCGCTGGCCTCAGAGGCCCAGCTTCCCTGTGAGGTCCTGGGTGAGGCCTAGGGCGGGTGGGCAGGAGAGCCCACTGCGGCAGGGAGGTTGGTGCAAGCCTGGCTCTGCTCGCAGGGTGGGGCCATGGCCAGGCTGCTCCTCTCCTGGAGCCTCAGTTTCCTCATCTGTGAAGTGGGCACATCACACCCACCTCACTCAGTCACCGTGAGGACCACACTGGGAAACCACACCCTGGCCCTGGTGACCAGGGCACCCATGTGAGGTCATGGGCAGGCCCATGTTCAGCAGTGCACACCGATGAGACTGCCCTGATGTCCACACACGGGAATCCTTCTGTACCGCTGGGCAGACAGCCTATCACCCCAAACCCTAGAGATCAGGGACCCCAGAGCCCTGGCGGCCTCTCGACTGCCAGTGTTGTGTTGGTGGCTGCCCTCCTGGCAGCAGCTCAGGTTCCTACAACATTGCCCTCACCCTTCCTCCCGGCAGCCCTCAGGAGCGTCCAGAGGACTGAGGCACCAGAGTGTCCTCAGGACTGAGGACTGAGGCGCCATGGCCAGGAGGACCCCAGCAAGAGGGAGCAGAGCACACTCTGCAGGGGGCGGGACACACCTTGAGGAGGATGGTGCGGGACAGGGAGGCGTTGGCGTGGATGATGATGGTGGCGGTCTTGTCGTCCCGGATCTCTTTGAGGAGGGGGGTGGGGTCCCTGGTGTCATCCAGCATCCGGACGGAGAGGGTGTCCTTGGAGATCAGGAACTGCCGGAGCAGCTTCTCCAGGTTCAAAAGGCCTGGAGGAAGAGAGGACAAGGCCCTGAGGGTCCGCATGCTGCCGGGGATGCGGAGCAGGAGCCAACAGCCCCGGGCCTCTGAGGCAGTTGGCCCGGCACATGTGTCTCTGCCTGAGCAAGGTCTCAGCTGTTTGAGCTCCAAGTGTCCCTTCTTCAATAACACACCTGCTCCCATGCTCCAGGGCTCCCTGACTCCCCTGGGAAGCTCCTAAAGGCAGACAATGCCCTCCCCCAGGCAGACTGAGCCCCCACCGGCTCCTGGGGTTCCCCCAGGCAGACCAAGCCCCCACTCGCTCCTGGTCCCAGGGCTCAGGGACCACCAGGCCTGGGCGTCTTGCCTGCGCTTAGCCACTTGCCTACTGTGTGACTGTTCCTGTGGCCGGGTCTCTGGGCCTCAGTTTCTTCATCTGAGAAACGAGAGCAGCACCAGCGGCGGCTCACAGGGCCGTGGGAGGATTAGATGAGGCACGTGAAGCGGGTGGGCCGAAGCGTGCACACGGCAAACCCTCCTTGCCGTTACATGCACTCTCCACAGCCTCCGTGTGCGTGTGGGGTCGGCCCGTGATCACAGACCCAGAAAACAGGTCTTGCAAAACACTGTGAGCACCGCAGAGCACAGTGGCTGCATCAGACGGTGTTAGTACAGCTTTAACAGAACAGGCTTCAAGCTGCACCCCAGCAGGCAATCATGGGGCCCAGAACAGAGCAGGCAGACTGGACCGCTCTAAGGACCCCCTCCGCCCCTCCGGTCCTGCTGCCTGCTGCCTGGGGCAGGGGTGGGGGAGAGGGTCCAGATGTATGAATGAGACAAAAGGTCTAATCCTGCTCTGTCTTTAAGGCAGGCCAGCGAGTGTGCAGGTCTCCTGGGAGCAGAGAGCGCAAGCCTGAGGGAACAGACCTGTTGGCATTTGCTCTTCAAAGCAGGCTCAAAAGTAACGTCTATTAGACCCTATTCAGTCCAGGTGACCGGTGGAGCATTGTACAAGGTTCACCTCATTTCAGCATTCCCAGCGATGCGACAGGCGTCCTCTGTCCCAGTGCAGAGCTGGAGGCTGCAGACAGGGTGCTGGGACAGGGGCTCGACATGCGGAGCAGCGGGAAGGCCTGGCTTCCTCACCAGGCAGAGGCCCACACTCCCGTTTCTGTCCCAGCTGAAGGGACATGAAACACAGGAATGTCCAGAGGTGTCCAGAGACCCTGCCCTGCTCAGGTAACTCTCCGTCTTGCCTCTTGAGGATCCATAGGTCAGAGAGAGCGGGAGCGGGAGGAGGGCCTATGCCTGCCTCTTTGTTAGAGGCCTTGCCTGGCCCCCAGGGAGCCAGCTGCTCAGGTCCCATGTTTTCCTCTGCACCTCAGGAGCTTAGGGTCCAAGGAGCTAAGTCTGTAGGAAGTTCAGCTCACGTCCCTGTTTTCTTCCACATCCTGAATGCCCGGTTTCTAAGGCCACTGCATTGAATGCTGGGTTTCTGGGGCCACATTCTGACCCATAAGTGAATGGAGGGGTATTCACCGTCCTCCTGTAGCTGATGGGAAAGCACAGCCTCGCCAGCACGTAGGCCTGGAGCCAGCCCACAGAGGGCGCTCCTGGGCCTCGCATCGCCCTGACTCAGGAAGGACCTAGGTGGAGGGATCATGCAACTGCAGGGGCGGGTGGCGTCCCAGGGAATCTGGATGCAGCGGGGAGAATCTGTGGAGCGTGACTGGGAAAGAGGCCACATCCCCTGGGGATTATTCGGTCTTGGCAGTGAAATTCAATGGAAGGAACCAGGAAGCCGGGTGATAGCAGGTTACTCTCCTCCAAGAGGCAGAGGTTTGGAAGGAGGGAGAGGAGCCGCCTCACCGGCTGAGCAAGAGGATGTCCAGGAGACAGAGCAGTGTGTCACCTACGAGGTGCTATGCAAATCCAGTGTCCACTCCTCTCCCCCGCTTCACAGCTCAACTATCCTTCACCGCCTCCCACCGCTTACAACCTACCACCCCTCCCACAAAACAGCTGTGGTGATGCCAACTGGTCACATCTTACAAAACTTACCACCTCTCCCACAAAACAGCCATGGCGATGCCAACTGATGGCCAGTGGCGCCAATTCAACACCAACAGGGACCCCAATCTGGGGTGTGGGGAAGACGAAACCTCATTCAGTGCAGATAGCTCAGCGGAATACAGTGCGATCGCAGGCCGGAGCTACCTGTGAGGCTCCCAGGGCCCAGGCCGCCCAAGCAGGTAGCTCTGCCCACGCCACACCAGCCCATGCCAGTCTGCTCACTTCGCCCTTTTCACGCCAGTCCATACCAGTCTGCCTTCTCTGCCTGCCCCACATCAGTACACGCCAGTCTGCTCATTCCAGCTTTAAAAGAACAGTCTACACCAGCCCGCCCTGCTTGCTCTGTGCTGCTAGTGCGCTCTGCTCGGCTCCAGTGAGACGTCTGTGACATCTTCAGTGTTTCGCTGCGGCCTGCGAAAGGCAGCCTCCAGGTGCCAAGGAAAGTGGACTCCCGAGGGCGCTGGCTTACATGGACAGAAGTCCCAGCCTCTGGCCCCTGACTGGCCCATCCTCATGCAAATGATCACCCCATATCCTCACATTCGACTGGTCCAGAGATACTGTTATAACTGACCAGAATAACTGATTGGTCAGACATTCGCAGCTCCAATTGGATGGGGAGAGCCTCAGCTATATTGGTCGATCTAGGATTTGAGGAACTGTTTTTGGGGCGGATCAGCAGCAGTTCAGCACAGAACCTTCCCACGGGGAAATGCAGTTTCTGTGAGAGGCCCCTGTGCAGAAATGGCTGCTAGGCTCTGCTCTTTTTTAAATTGATCCCTTCTTAGTAGGTATCTTTTCTTCCTTTCAGGACTCAGTTAAACTATTTTATAGCATCTACATAGGTATACCTATCTATATAAAAGCCTAATATATAAATCAACGGAACGGCATAATGACAGGCAGAATGACTGACCACAGGCCCTGACTAGCTGTGGCAGTTGGGAGGTGGGGCTGGCAAGCAGGCAGCACCAGGCCAGCCAAGATGGGTATAAGCAGGCCCCCTCCCCCATCACCTCTCAGAGGGAGGTCACTGGCAGCAGCAGCAGGGGGCAGGGCCAGTGAGCCAGTGGTGCCAGGCCAGCCAAGGCAGAAGCCCTGATCAGCCCGCCAGTCACTGCACAGATTGGCCCTGATTGTTGGCCAGGCCCAGGGACCCTGCCTGTGCCTGAATTTCGTGCACTGGGCCTCTAGTGTGTTACATACCTTGTTTCCCCCAAAATAAGACATCCTCCGAAAATAAGACCTAGCGCAACTTTAGGAGAAAAAATTAATATAAGACACTATCTTATATTCGGGGAAACAGGGTACTACATCATGCACACACATGTACGATTTCACCATGTTGGGTGGGTAGGGTCCCACTCACACTTCTCTGCACATCTATCATGCGAGGCAGGGCTCAGGGTGCTTACTGACCAATGGAACTAGAGACTGTGTGTCACAGACAGCACGCCCACATCCTAACAGACCATGGAGCTGCAGTGCCTGGTGGGACAGCGGAGGAACGAGGTTTCTGGCTCTGGTCCTCGGCAGCCTGGGACTAGTCCAGGAACAAGGAGCAGCTGGGAGCCCCGAGACAGGCTGCCCTCTGTCAAGATGCCAGCGATGCTGAGGCAGCAGCAGGAGGGAGAAGCCAGGCACTCAGGTAGTCAGAAGGGCTGAGCCTCTGAGGAGGCTGCCCAGGGATTAACCCCACACCCGGGACTGGAAGCTGAACCAGAAGAATGTTGGCGTGTTTCCAGCGCACAGGCTCTCTAACTCAATGAATCGGAAGAGAATACTTTAAAAATTCTAGGCAGGGGTAAAATTTTTCAGAAGAGAGTGTGGTTTGGTTACTTTAAAACATTCGGAGTGTTTCAGTGCATTTGATATGCTTCGATTGTCATTCTCTTCACTTCCCCCGGTTAATGGCACGAAGGGGTTTACCAGAGGCAGCACACAGAGAGGTCAGAAGCTGCTCTCCCCGGCCTCCCTTCCATCCCCACCCACCCTCCTCTCCAGAAGGGCCTGGCCCAGCAGGGTCCTAGCCAAGTGTAGCTTGGGATGAGGGACCCCACAGCCCCGCACAGGAGGTGGGTGGCCTGTGTTCAGGGCAGGAGAAAGGCTGGCTGAGGGGAGTGGAAGCCAGGGGCCGGTGGGGTGGAGGAAGATGGAGAGGCTGTGAAAGACAAGGCCAGGGTTGGACAGGGCCAGAGGGTAATGACGCAGATGCCCGTAGGAAGGCTCTTCAGGGCACACAGAGGACCCTCGTATAAAAAACACAATAAACACCCATTTCTGTGGGCATCATTTCCCCTCCACTGGCTGATACCTTGGGGGCGGGCTTTGCTTCTACAAATGTGAATGTTCCCCTGAGGCATAATCCCGACCTCGGAGGATGGTGGGAAGGTTAGTGAGCAACACAGAGCTCACCGCTGTGCGCGGAGCCCTAAACCTGGAGGTCCTGCTTGCCAGGCTCCCGTGCCCCAGGAGTGGCTTCAGACCATTCCACGGAGCAGATGAGGGATCAGGACAAGGCTCCAATGGGGAAGGGGCACAGAATTAGTTCAAAAGCTTGAACAACACATAACACATTTCACTTGCTTCTTTGTTTTGTCCCATCCCACACCTAGCTCGGCCCAGGAATGGGCAGGGAGGGTTGAGCACAGGCCAGAGGGGAAAGGGAGCGTGTAGGGAGGCTGAGGCTTCTCACTCACAGGTAGGACAGTCTGTGCTTGGCGTGGCCGTGGACACTGTCCCCCTGTCTGATTGAAAGATGGGGGTGGGAAGAATGTGGCCTCTAAGCTGCTATCCGACTCCCGAACTCACAGCATGCTTCCCACATGGGCCTCAGCTGCCAGTGCCCAGTAGACTGAGAGCAAGAGGGACTGTGGCTAGACACAAGGAAGAACTTCCTGTCAGGTTGGTGAGCACTGAGGAAACTGCAGGAGAAATTTTGACTGGGGATGTTTACAGCCTGTGCTTTGTCCCTCCACACTCCTGCTGTGAGCATGGGCGCACAGGTTCTGTCCTGCCTGAGGGGGCTTGTGGCAGAAATTTCTAGGGGAGTCCTTGACTCCCTTATACCATGCAAAGATCCCACACGAGGGGGCCACCTGGGGAATGCAAAGTTCCCAGCCATGTTCTATCAAAGACAAGCATCCAATTGGGCTCATGGCCAACCTGCTTGGAAGATGAGGAGGTAAGAAAGGTGTTTGGTATAGGACCTGTCAGTGTCCATGCTAATGTGAGCTGCGCACCTCTGCGAGGGGAACAAGGACAGAATGGTAGCCAGTACTTCTGGGTTTGGGGGGAGGGCCACAAAACTCGTTATTCCCAAAGCACGCATCATTTACAGTAGCCCTGCCCAATGGGACATCTGGTGGGAAAGTTCTAGAACTGTGCTGTCCACTTGTGGCCACTGAGACCTGGAAATGTGGCTGGTGAGAGTGAGGAACTGAGTTTTACATTTCACGTAGGAATTCCAGGACTTCCAAGCCTGGGTTGTAATAAATAAGTGATGTGAGAAGCACACACGTGGGCTCTGGTCCAAGATGGCTGTATGGGAACACCTGCACTCCCCTCTCCAGTAAGCCATACAATGACACTTACAGACAGAGAGTTCCCCCGGGAGAAGAATGGGGCTGACCAAACAGCTTCTGCACAACCAGGGGGAGAGAGAGAGAGAGAGAGAGAGAGAGAGAGAGAGAGAGAGAGAGAGAGAGAGAGAGAGAGAGAGAGACACACAGATCCTTGAAACAGTTCCGGCTCTGGCTCCAGCTTCCAGCCTCGTGACTCACTGCCAGACTCTCCTCAAGTCGATTCAAGTTCACATTAGCTGCAGCTCCCACCCAGGTGTGGCTTGTCCTCAGAAATTCCTGCAACCATACCTCCCTCTGCTACATCCCAGCTTACCTCCAGAATCCCTACAGCTAGCCCACCTCCAGCTGCTGCTCGGTCCCAGGGTGCTTTGCCCCAGGAACTCTGGGAGGCCTGAGCCCCCTCCAGCTACAAGTGCAGCCACCCTTCCAGGATCCAGTGCAGCCTACCCCTGGGACTTCCCTTGGCCCTTTCCATTCCAGCCACAGCTCCAGGCCTCGGTAAGGCCTGACCTCCAGTAACTCCCATGTAGGCTCCAGCTCCCGCTGGCCTGCCAAGGACACCTACATGCAGTCCACACAGGAGCCCTCCTACACAAGGTCACTCCTGTAGGACAAGGAGAGGTTGCTGTTTCACCCAATTCATACAAACAAACACACGAAGAGACAGGGAAATACGTCCCGAACTAAAGACCAGCACAAAGCCCCAGAAAAAGAATGAAGTGAAAGAGACAAGCAGTCTATCAGATAAAGAATTCAAAACACTGGTTATTAGGATGCTCAATGATCTCAACAAAGAAATAGGAAACATAAAAAATGAGACAGAAAACATAAAAAACAACCTGTCTGAGATAAAGAATGCAATAACTGACATGAAGAATACATTGGATGGGATCAATAGCAGGATAGAGGAAGCAGAGGATCTAATCAGTGATTGGGGAGACAAAGGAGCAGAACACATCCAGTTGGAACTGCAAAAAGAAAAAGGAATTAAAAAAATAAGTGCTGTTAAGGACTTCTGGGACAACATTAAGTATCCCAACATTTGAATTACAGTGATCCCAGAAGAAGAGAGAGAAAGAGAGAGAAAACCTTTTCTAAAAGTTAATGACAGAAAATTTCCCCAATACGGTGAAGCAAAAGACACAACTCCAGGAAGCACAGAGAGTCCTAAACAAGATGAACCCAAAGAGGGCCACACCAAAACACATCATAATTAAAATGCCAGAAGTTAAATCAACGAGGATTTTTTAACTTCATAGTTGAGAATAAACAAAATAAACTTAACAATATACCAAATAGATAACTATATTAAAGAAAAGTAAAAAAGAAAGAACCCAAGTGACTTTTAGCTAGAGTACTTTTACTCCCCTCATTCTGAAGATAAAAGGACCAAAAGAACTACAAAAGAAACTGACATGACTTAATAGGTTAGTAGGTTTATTATTAACAGTGGTATTGGTATAGTAATTCTGGAACAAGTTTATGGGCTGCAGAATTGAACAAAAGAGTAACTATATTGATTTTGTTGGGAGCCAGGCTTCTCATGATGAGATAAAGGAACTACAAATATAAAGTGGTGAGAGGCAAGAATGATAGGAAATGGATATTTTCCCATTTATCCACTGAAAGGACAAAAGAGATGACACTCAGCTTCCAGGCCTAGGGCTCTATTATTCCTTGAAACATGCACACAAAGCGAACAAACCACAGAACAATAAGACAGGGGTCCTTCGCCTAGTGGCGAGTCCTGGGCTGGGCTGGGGCATAGACCTGAACAACCATGGGCCAGAGGTGCTCAAAGACAGCAGGCACAGAGGCCAACTTGCAGGAGCTCCCACTGTCAACCCTGGGGCCACCTGAGCCTCAAGGTAAGTAATAATAGCAACAGATTATAGCCATTGGATAAACCGGAATAGGAGGAGCCACTCTGACAGGAGGAAATAAGTAAGGAGAAGCAAAGAGCCTCGCTGGAGCTGCTCACTCACAAATGCAGACAGAACACTGTGCTCCAGCCATTTTAGGCAGTCATGTGACCTGATTCAGGCAGAGATCTGCATGTGCCCTAAGGAGCTGTGCCTTCCATTAATCTCCAGAGGGGAAAGCAGCACCGTCTACAAAATAACTGGTCCCAGGTCTTCAAAATGTTGCAGTTGAGAGAGCTCTAGCTGAAGGAAGGCTGAAGAGACAGGGCAACTGAAATGCACCCGGTGACCGGGCCTGGACCCTGGACTGAAGAACACTGACTGCAGGGCCAGAGGGGGAATCAGAATAGAGTGCTGTTGGTGGGGTGGGGGGGCCTCACACAATGGGGCTCGGCTGCTCTTGCTTCTCTTGCAGTGCAGGAGAGTCATGTCTGCTGAAAGGTGGGAGAATGTGCCTGTGGAGGCCACCAGGGCCGTGGCGGGGGAGGACAATGTCTGAAGATGCCTTCAGGATGCTGGGAGGGGCAAGGATGTCTGCACGCCCAGCAGTTCTGAGCAGCTACTGAGAGGAGCTCTGGCGGGCATGGCATGGCCCTGCCCGTGCAGTCCTCCCTGTGCCTGCCGGCAGGCCTGCACAGCGAGCTGCCCAAACACAGGTGCCCAAGCCCGGGGCTGGGCCTGCGGACAGCCCACGGTCAGCACCTGGCCGGCTGCATGTGGTGCGGCTGCCAGTGGGTGCGCAGAAGCCAGGGCTTTCTGGGAAGAGCTGCTTAAAGGAGCTACGTCTCATAGACACTAAGTTTATGTCACACACTGTCAGAGAAATGCGTTTCCAAAACACGCACTTGCAGACAACAAGTGCTTTATCAAAAATTGACCTTGGCCTCTGTTCCATCAGCAGAGCCTGCTCTCCAGGCAAGAAGCTCTTCAGCCCATCAGGTACAAACGCACCGCCTGCATACCCCCGTCTTCGGAGCAACGGCTGCAAGTGTGGGAATTGTGTTTGCAGGCGCAGCAAGGCGTGGAGGTTGGCCAATCTTGTACCCAGATCTCTCTGTGCCCAGGGGATTCTGTCAGACAGACTGCTCACTCTCACATACATACACACATGAGCACACACATGGACAAGCAGCCAAGCAGAAGCTTTCTGTGTGGGCTCGCCCAGAGTGAGAGGATCCTAGGGTGCCCTCCAATGGCCGGCTCCCTTACCACTTCACGCTCCTGGGGAGTCAGCCAAGAAGGTGAGCTCACCGATGAACATGGCTGCCAAGCCCCTGGTTACCGCCCTGGGAAGGGGGCGCCCCTTCCCGTGTGTCCCCCCAGGGCTGCAGTCAGGTTGAACTTGGCCTGCCGGGGCTTACATTCCGCTTTGGCGCAGACGAGGCAGGCCGTGGTGCAGTTGAAGAAGTTCAGGACCCCAGCCACAGCCACGCTGATGTCCGTGTTGCTGGGGTGCAGGTTCAGGGTGGTGAATCTTTGTAGCTGGAACTTGATAAACTCCTCTGGGGCCACTTTGAAATGAGGGACCTGAGAGGAGGAGCGAAAATAAGCAGCAGGTTGGAGAGGGGAGGGGTTTAAAAAGAGGGAGAGCTAGAGAGGCTGAGGAGGGAGGATTTTTATGTCAGGCCTTGGCCTCACACCAGAGGGAAACAGAGCTGGCAGGCCTCAGGCACCCACAGGATGGCACCATGGACAGCCCTGAGGGCAGGTGGGTAGGGGAGAGCCCCCAGGAGACTTGTGTGGGTGCCTGGGAACCGTGGACTGATTCTGGAGGAAACTGCCTGCTGCTGAGCAGCTAGACAAGTGGCCCTCAGAGGCATAACCCTCCTAACCCTCGAGTTGTCATGACTAAGTCAGCGCAGAGATGGCAGGGAAAGAAAAACCTGACTCTGGGGACCGAGACAAGGCAGAGTACCAGCCAGCTCCCACCACGCCCTGAACACGCACGTGGAGACAGCGCTTCCGTGGAGAAGCCCATGGAGAGCCCGTGTGTGGGGTAGGTGTGGCCTCCTGGGGCAGGCAGTCTGCTCCCTCTGCCCCTGCTTCTGACGTTCCCAGAGGCACCGCCAGACCCACCTCTCTCCCTGCAGCCTGGCATCGCTCCTTTATTGGCAGCTCAGGCGACGGGGTAGGTTGTTGGACAGTTAAAACATAATAAGCTGCCATCCACCTTGATCTTATTCTATCTCCCTCACCCTGGTACAAGCCGCAGAGCTGCAAGCTGCCCCGTGCCCCTATGAGGTGGGGCTGGAACCTCACAGTCCTCCCCAAGGACCAGTGGCCTACAGGCCCAGCCACATCAGAGCAAGCATGACGCCGCACGGGGATTAAGGTGGGTGGGGCTGAGGACGGACAGCAGGAAGAGCTCTGACAGTGCACTTACCAGCTGCCCATCTGCAAGGGCTCTGAGATGGTCTCCGTGGGGGTCAACGACCTGATCATTTTAAGCTTCTGAGGAGAGTCGGCCAGAGGCCGGGTCTCCGTGACACCAGGCAAGGGGAGAGGAAGGTTAGCAGAGACGGGGGAGAGATGTCTAAATTTAACTAGGATCAGCCCCTGAGCTAACAGGGCAGTCACTACTTCCAGCAGTGACACAAAGTGTAGGCTGGGGGGTCCCGAGAGGCTGTGTTGGAGAAAATGATGCATCTCATCTGATCAGTGTAAGATGAATGAACCCTGTGAGCGTAAAGGTCACAGAGGAGCAGGATGGAGGCACAGGCTGGGCAGGGTGCGGGGCAGGGGCCAGTGGACACAGTTGGGTGTCTCTGGCTGAAGGCCACCAGGCATGGACACCCAGCTGCCAGGGTTCCGTTAGCAGCACACTCTCCTCAGGGAGATGAAACCCTTAGAGATGCCCTCAGGTTCATGGTCTCAGGAAACTGAAGGACAAATGGGTTGAAAGTCTAGAGATTCAGTCTGCAGCCAGGGTGTGTGTCTTGGGGCCCAGCTCATGCCAATGAGGAGCTTTGGGAGCATAAAGTGAGGTCCCGTGAGTGAGGGGTGCAGCTCACTGCCACATGCAGCCAGTGCCCGGCATTGCCCCTTCTCCTCCTCTTTCCCCTTTTCTCAAACGCAGGGCTCCGGACAAGCTCCCGAAGTGGGGTGTTCGGGAGCAAGGCTGAGGGCTCCTGGAGGGCCTTGGGGAGGAAGGACAGGTGCCAGGGGAGCCGCCAGCCGCTCTAAGGAGCCAGGAAGAGGTCTGGCCATGCTGCTGACAATCCATCCCAGACCAAGAGCAACACATTTCCATCTGCAGTTGCACACAGGCCCGGGAAGCCACGTGAAGGCGGGAGCAGGAGGGGAGCGGGAGGTAGGGCAGCTGAGGAGAGCAGTGGTCAGGGCCTGGTGTCAGCGGCCCTCAAAGAAATGAGCTCCTTGGTGCTAATGCCATTTCTTTCCCTGGAGCCGAGGGAGCTCAGGGTGAGGCAGTTCAGCCTCATAGTATATTAAAAGTGATGCGTGATCGGGACGGGAGAGCAGGTCACAGGGTGTGAGGAGCTGAGATAAACGTCCAATGAGGCCCAGGAGGAAGCAAACTGGAGGGGTCAGGGAAGGTCAGTGTGGGACAGCGAGGAAATGAGGATGAGTGGAAGGAGAGAGGGCAGAGAAGAAAAGGAAGAACAGAGAGAAAAGGAGAAGCTGCCATTGGGCAAGCTCACTGGGGATGATCCCAACCGGGGATCTGAGCTGTCCTCCGAGCCAGCAGGAAGATGGAAACTACCCTACAGCCCAATGTCCCGGGCCTGGGACTGAGATGCTAGGGTGCTGCAGGGGGCAGAAGCTCGGCCGAGGCCTGGACTGGCTGAGTCCTCGTTCAGGAGGTTGAGGGGATGAGGCAGGGCAGGTCCCTGGGCTTGGCCTGGGGCAGGAAGGCGAGGGGCCTGGTCTGCAGAGCAGCTCTTGGCCCTGGAAGAGCAGACCCCCAGGGGACAGCAAGACCTGCAGGCTGTTCGCGATGTGACAATTCGAGAGCGGTCATGAGACAGGCAGACCACTCAGCCTTCTGGTCACAGGAGAAGCAGTGGCATCCCAGGGAGGCCTGCACCACCCCACTGCCTGCACAACATGGTGAGGAGTTCCTCCCCGCAGTGGGCCCTGTCCTGTTTCTAAGAGCCAAAGCTCCCCCACCCCCAGGCAGAGCCGCCAGGCCCCCCTGGTCTCACCCTCCCCAGCTCCTTCCCACCCTGTAGGGCCTGGCTGGAGGCCCGTGGGCAGAGAGAGGATGCAGGTGCCTTTGCCACTGTCTCCAGGGATACGCTGGCAGGGAAACAAGTGGTTGATTCTGGGAAGGCCTAGGGAAGATTCCAGTAACAGCAGGACTGCTGCATCCACAGCGAGCGTGTTCCTCTAGGGGTGAAGGAGGGAGACAGTGCCTTAGCCTCCCAGCACTTCATCCTCATGGAGTAGAACCACAGGAGACAGCTCAGCACTGGGAAGGAGAGACTCCAGGGAGAGGTGGCACCTGCAGAGGACAATGCTGATGGACCAGCGACCCCTGGACTTGGTGAATGAGGTGGAAAGCAAAATTGTCGCTTTCTAGAAAACGTATAAAGCAGGTATTCAAACCTTATTTTATCAATCGAATGTAGCAATGCCTTCTTCCCCAGAGTCCCAATGTCTAAATAAAGAACAGGATCTGTCACGTGGAGTCAGACTTCTGCCTTCCTGCCCCCACCCCCACACCATCCCCAACCCCCCTCTGCCCACCTCCTCCAGCCCCACCCTCCCCGAAGGACCTTAGATCCAAAGGCGTCCTTGAAATCCTGATGGAAAACCCGCTCCTAGTCCCCTCCATCTAAACAATCTGGACAAAGCGTGTGTCCCGCGAAGGACACTCCTGACCTCATTACATCCCCGCTATCAGTGGCACAAATGGGCACTGCGGGCTGCTGGAGCCTCAGCGTCACGGCACCTGTGGGCACGGCTGTGGCCCAGCACTCACCTCCTTCTCCCCACAGATGTTGCTGATGATGGAGCTGGAGGCAGGGCTGGCAGATGGGCCCAGGACAGCAACCACGCCCTTGGGGAGGATCTGACACACTGGGGCCACAGAGTGGGGGAGCAGGGTTGGGAAGAAACAAGGAAAAGAAACTCATCAGGGTGTGGCTAGTGGCTGTGGGCTTGCCTCCTCACCTCTCACTTCCCACTGCCCCTGGCTCCCACCTGCTGCCCACCCACCTGCCCCCATCTCCCACAGCCGGGCCTCCCCCAGGACCGCTGGCTCCGGGGCTGTCTGACTGCCGTTTATGGTGGTATTAAGTGAGCAAATGGCCCAGGTGATGGCAACAGGGTGTATAAATCCGAGAGTGCAGAGAGAGAATCCAAGATGGCTGCTCGGGTAGGCAACTAGCTGCAGCCGCACACAACAATTTCAACAAAATACAACTAAAATATAAAATGGACATTACCCAGAACTACAGGAAAGTCGACTGACTGGAAATTCTACAACAAGAAGCAAGGAGAAAACCAGAAGGAAGCGCGGAGGAGCTGTAAAAGCCCAAGGTACAGAGACACGCGGCGCGCGGAGAGGACAGAGCCGGAGAGGAGGGAGGCCGAGTGCCTGGCTGGCGGTCCCAAGCGGGAAGGAGAGAAAAGCTCTGACTGTGCTGGGCCCAGCTCCAACTGCTCTGAACCCCAATTCTAGGCCAGACCCCGGGGACCCAGGCTCATCCATAGGGAGCCGGGCTGTAAGGCGAAAGGAGGTCCCGGAGGTGCGCACACTGCGCGCAGAGAAGGGCCAGCCGGCTGTGCCGCGGGATTGCCCTGATGGGAAGGAGACAGGGGCTCCAGACTGCTCTGAACACCACCTCCAATCCCACTACCAACTGAACTGAACCCCAATACCGGACTCATTGGGGAGAGCATAGACAGTTTGGCAGCAGGAGAAAATCGAGGGCACCTTTCTCTCAGAGGCACTCGCAACAAGTACTGAAGGACCCTGAGTCTCAGGAGTCGCACAGGGTGGGGCTGACGGAAGCCAAGGCTGTGGGCTCCACCCTGAAACCCCGCCCCATCAGGAAAGCTGCCTGAGAAAATGCCTAAACCAAATAGATCACAAACGAAAGAAATGGAGGACAAAAAGCGACTGGATATAGAGTTCAAAACCACACTTATAAGGTTGTTCAAGAATCTCCTAGAAAAGGCCGATAAAATAAACAAGACCTATGAGGATATGAAAAGGGATCAACCAGGGTGTATAAATCCTCTGTCGGCAGCCAGAGGACACAGGCTGGCGGTGAGTGTTTAGAGGGCTCCCTCCTCTCTTCAGAGTCAAACCCCTAGGGTAGGGTTGTCAAACTCAATCAGAGAAGGGGCCAAAATCTAAAATCCAGCCTAAATCGCGGGCCGAATGGTTTACTGAACAGTCATAAACTGTCATTGTGATGGAAATGCAGCAGAGTGCAGTGATGACAGCGCGGTGCGGGCCACATTGCAAGGCCTGGCGGGACGGATTTGGCCCGCGGGCCTTGTGTTTGACACATGTGCCCTAGGGGCAGGCACGAGCCTTATTAACCCAGATCCCAACGTTCCAGTCCTGGGTGTCTCTGTGCTGTTTCCTAGCAGGAACAGGTGCCAGTGCATGTTCCTGAGTGAGCATATGCATGGGTGGGACATGCAGTCAGAAAAGGAGGAGAGAATCTATGACTTGACTCTGTGAAGCCCAAGAAAGAAAGGACAGGAAATAAGGGGAAATAGAGGGAACACACATGGCGAATTTTCAGGGCACACACTGTGATGTCAGACCGCAGCAGCCACCGAGGCCCGTCCCACACCTTCTCCTAAACGCAGAGCTTGATCCCGCACCATTCCCTCCATCTCGCACCACAGTCAGGTGGAGCCACTTCCCAGCCGTGATCGAGGGTGGAGGCAGCAGCCAGGGTGTCCTTGTGGCGTCAGCTGCAAAGCCACACCCGCACCCTGGTCTCTTCCTCTTAGGGCAGCGACCTCATCACGGCCACACAGCCAGCGGATGCCTCGGACGGGGTGCAGGTGGGGAGGGGGAGCCCCAGGGTTCACGCCCAGCACTGCAATCCACCAGATGACAGGAGACCTGCAGCTCAGGTAGGGGTCCTGCACCAGCACAGGCCATCAGCCTGCAGGACCCATGGCATGACCGGATGCAGCTTTGAGGAATGTGCTGAAGTTCAAGCAGTTTCTCATGTGACCTCAGCCTGCTAGATGGTCCGCGCTCATCACCTCAAAGCCTGAAGCAGCTGCTGGTGGGTCTTATTCCTGATCTCCCCATGAGGAATGGATTCTGGCGAGACTCTGACTCCACTACAGTCCCTGCCTGAGAGAGGTCAGCCAGCACTGGAGTGTGTATCTGTGAAGCCCTCCAGTGCCCTCTCCGCACCCTCACAAGCACCTCATCACAGCCTGCTCCTGCAGCCACTTCACCCATCTCTGCACGTCCTACAGGTGCGGTCCCATCCCACCTCGGCCTGCCGGGTCTACTTCTCCGAGGTCACCGTGACCTCTGTGTTCCAGACACCTTCAGATCCTCATTCCCACCCACTGCTCCGACTGCCCGTTTTCATGTTCATTCTGGCTCCTCTCCCGTCTGCCACTTGCTTGGATCAGAGGCTATCCAGTCTCACTGACTGGATCATCTCACCCCAGCCTGTGACCTCCGCTCACATCTCTGTCCAGGTGGGTTGCACTCTGACTGACGTCCTGGGTTACAATGTCAAATTCCAACATCTGCTGGATGTCAGCAGAGGGCTGTCCACACAGAGAAGCAGGACGGACGCACTGTCATTAAGAGCATAGACTCAGAGGCCAGACCATCTGGACAAGTCTGGGCTGTCACTGCTGTGAGGCCTGGAGAAGTCACTGCCCTCTCTGGGCCTGCTTCCTCAGCTCAGGAGCTGAAAGGCTAGCACCCTCCTTCCCCCCTGCCCGGGCTTATGGGAGTAAATGAGTCAGTACATGCAGTGTTCTTAAAGTAGTGCAGACATGCTACCCTGGTCTTCTTATTCTGTCCAACACATCATATTTGCCATACTAGTGGCCTGGTGCACAAAATTTGTGTCCTTCAGCCTGGCCTACACCCTCCCCAATCTGAGTCCCCTCAGGGGATGTCTGACTGCCAGTTTAGGCCCAGGCAGTGGTGATCACTGGGATATGGCTCGGGACACAGGCTTCTTCCCCGTTTTCTCCACTCTCTATAATGAGCATGTGTTCCTTTCAGATCACATCATTATAGAAAACAAGATGGTGTTATAAATGCTTTCTTTTCTTTCTTTCTTTTTTTTTAATTGATTTTTTACAGAGATAAAGGGAGAGAGATAGAGAGCTAGAAACGTCGATGAGAGAGAAACATCGACCAGCCGCCTCCTGCACACCCCCCACCGGGGATGTGCCCGCAACCAACGCAAATGCCCTTGACTGGAATCGAACCTGGCACCTTTCAGTCCGCAGACCGACGCTCCACCATTGAGCCAAACCACTTTCGGCTATAAATGCTTTCTTTTGATGAGCCAGTAAATGCTAATGGATGCCACCTTGCCTCAGCCTCCCTCCATCGCGCCTCCGCCTTTTGTTCCTGTGCACCCAGAACGTGCCGTCCTGCCACTGGAGCCTGTGGCGGTGCTTCTTTCTGCCCACACCAGGTTTTAACCTGCTGCTGGAGATGGGGTGAGGAACAGTGGCCTGTGAGCATGTGGATGAGGACTGGACTGTTTCTCTGGCGCCTAACTGAAGTTCAGTCTCCCCTAGCAACAGCCCCGCATCTGTCGCCAGCAGACATCACAGTTTTCACACCACATACAGTGCTGCAGACAGCCTGAGATATGATTTAAATTCATAATTAATTCCAAGTGACACTACAGGTGTCCTGCTATGAGGTTTGGCTAATCAGTGTGCTAATAGAGAAGCACATATATTAATATTGCACTGTTAACATAGCGTAACTGCATTACTGCTTCCTTGATCATCCTATCTATTTTAGTTTACTCATTGAAAACTCTTTTCTGAGGAGGAGTCCATTAGCCCCGAGATTGCTGGGCCTGTGACTCCCACCGACCCTCCTGCTCCTCAGACCTGCCCAGCTGGTGGCCTTCCTCCCTCCCTCCCTTCTTCCCTCTCTTCCTTCCTCTTTTCCTCCCTCCCTCTGTTCTTTCCTCTCTCCTTCCCTCCCTCCCTCCCTCCCTCCCTCCTCCCTCCCTCCCTCCCTCCTCTTGAAGCACAGTACTGCCCTGTAGAGCAGCCTGCTGGAGCAGCTCCCTGTTCTCCTAGTTCCTGGCCAGTTCTTGCCCCTTGCTAGTTCATTATCACAGAGAATTGTCTCCTAAAAACAAATTCTTATAGAAGGCCCTATTCCCTATTCCCACTATTCCCACTCCCCAAACCCAAAAGGCTCAGAAACTGATAAAAAAGAATGTATGCCCCCCTATGTTCATAGTATCACAATTTATCATAGCTAAGATCTGGAAACAGCCCAAGTGCCCATAGTAGATGAGTGAATAAAAAGCTGTGGGACATTTGCATAAAAAATAAGGCTCTCTTACCCTCTGAGACAGCATGGAGGGACCTGGAGAGTTTCATGCTAAGTGAAATAAGTCAGTCAGAGAAAGACAAGTATCACATGAACGCCCTCATATGTGGAATCCAAGTACTAACAAAATAAAGTGATGAACGAAGTGGATCCTGAGACATGAAATCATGGAACACAGTGTGGAATCACCTAGGGAAGGCAGGGGAGGGTGGGTGTGAGGTAATCAAACAAAGACCTAGTGTACATATGCATGGCCCATGGACACAGACAATGGGGTGGTGAGGGCCTGCAGTGGAGAGGGTGCAGTGGTAGGAATGGGGGGATAAAGAGGACATATAAAATACTTTTAACAATAAATATTTTTTAAAGGATCTGAAACTGGATAATTTTCATTAAACTTACTTGTTGGCAAAATCCATTTATAATATACTAGAGGCCCCATGCACAAAATTCATGCACAGGGGTGTGTGTCCCTCAGTCCAGCCTGCACTCTCTCTAGTCTGGCTACCAACTGCTCACCTGCCTGGCTGCCTGATCACCTCCT